GCAGCAGGGAAGCGGGCACAGAGAGGCCGAGAAGAGCCTGAGCAGACAGGCCGTGCTGGGCTTCCCCACCCAGTGTGTTATTGTTAGGTCAGACCCTCTGTCCAGTTACACTTCCGCACAGCTGTCCGTGCTTCAGTCATGCCTACGTGATGATGCCTCCGTGAGAACCCAAGAGCACAGGCTCCGGGAGCTCCGGGGTAGCTGAACCCCTGGTGGTTCCTGGAGGGCGCGGAAGCTCCACCCCCACCCCCACACCTCGCCCTGTACAGTTCTTCATCTGTGTCTTTTCTAATATCCTTTATGATAAACCAGTAAAAGTAAGTGTTACCCTGTTCTGTGAGCCACTCAGCAAATTAATCAAACCCAAGGAGGGGGTTATAGGAACCCCAATCTGTAGCCAATCAGAAGTTCCAGAGTCCTGGGCTTGCAGCTGCATCTGAAGAGGTGGCAATTCTGGGGACTGAGTCCTCACCCTGTGGGACCTGATGCTAACTCCAGGCAGATGGTGTCAAAACTGAATTGAACTGGAGGACACCCGGCTGGTGCCCACTGCAGAACTGCTTAGTGTGTGGGGAGAAACCCCCACACATGTGGTGCCAGAAGTGTGTTGTGAGAGTACCAGGAACTGCAAAAAGTTCATGGAAAGATTCGTACTATCTTTCAGTTCTATTTTTTCACCATCTTTTTGAAGTACCCTCATATAGTAGGAGAAACTGAACTCAGAGTGTTTTTCCCATTCATACACATACCCTATTTTGCAGCAATTTCATCCCCAGGTATATATGTGTACCTGACAGAAATGCACGTGCACGTGTGTGGAGACGTGTACACAGAAGGAGCAGTTGTCATGAACAGCCGACGGGGAGCAGCGCAAACGTCCATCAGCCCCTCAGCCAGCAAGGGCTGTGCTCACGTGACTTGTATTTCTTCATCCACTGACAGGTCTGGCTGGCCAAGGTGTTGCTCAGGAGTGTCACACATGTGCTACAGTAAGCTTGTCCTGACTTGTCCCTCCTCTTCTTTTATTTTTTTTCTTAAGTAATAGACTTTATTTTTATAGCAGTTTTAGGTTTACAGCAAAATAGAGTGGAAAGTACAGAGAGTTCCCACACCTCCCCCCGAGCACACACGCACAGTTTTACTATTATTACTTTTCTTGCTGGTTGGCCAGGAGGATCTGAACCCTTGACTTTGGTGTTTCCAATGCCACGCTCTAAGCAGCCGAGCTAACTGGTCAGCTCCTTATTGACATATTATTATGAACTCAATTTTATTGTCCTTTCTCTTCTTATGTGACACTGGGCTAGACAAATGTTTCTTAAACAGAAAAATGTTAGCTCTATACCTAGAAGCTGTATTTATTACATTGACTCATTAATAATAAACTAATTAAATAGCAAAAAATAAAAAGATTGCTTTAACAGGGCACCAAGCACAAACTATACAAGAAAAAATTGATAAAATGCACTTGGTCGAAGATTTTTGGGAAGATTTTTCTTCTTCCAAAAAAAAACTGGCAAATTTTTGTAAAGAAAAATCTGACAAAGGGCTTATATCCAGAAAATATGAAGAACTCTTACAACTAAATAAAAAGACCAAAAAAAATTTTTAATTGTGAAATATTTGAACGGATACTTCACAAAAAAAGATGTACACATGGCCAATACACACAAGAAAAGTTTTCTGCAGTGCTGGTAGGAATTCAAAGTGGCCTAACCACCTTGGAAGACAGAGTGGCGGCACCTCACAGAGTGAAACACACACGTACATGACCCAGCAGTGTCACTGCGAGGTATTACCTGAGGGAGATGAAAACATATGCCCACGTGAGAACATGCATGCAAATGTTGGTAGCAGCGTTATTAATAACGGCCGAGAGCTGGAAGCAGCACACACAGATGTCGACTGGTGAGTGGATGAATCACCTACGTCCATTCAGCGAAGAGCTCACTCACAAATAAAAAGGAATGAAATATCAACGCGCGATCACACTGTGTCTGATACACAGATGAATCTCAGAAGCCTTACGCTGGGGGAAAGAAGTTAGAAAACAAAAGGTTGTGGGTTGCGTGCGCCGTTTTTATGAAAAGACAGACCGTGGTGGCGGCAGTTTGGTCGCTGCCAAGGGGTGGGGGAGGAGCAAGAGCAGAAGGCTCAGGGGACAGTCCTACGTCCTGCTTGTGGTGGTGGTCACGCAATTGTATACAACTGCCAAAAGCCCTCAAACTGTACAATGAACATTGGTGAATTTTATTCTATGTAAATAATGCCTTAAGTAAAAAGAAAATCAATAGCACTCCTACGCAGAAATAATAACCCAGTTAGAAGATATAATGAAAGAGAAAACTCCATTTAAAATAGCGACAATAGGATAAAATCTTTAGGAATGAACTTAAAACCATATATTCAAAACCCATAGGAAGGGGCCAGCCCGGTGGCGCACTGGATAGTGCGCCACTTGGGAAGCGCTGCGGCGCTCCTGCCCGAGGGTTCGGATCCCACATACAGACCGGTTCCCGCTCACTGGCTGAGCGAGGCATGGGAGCAACGTTCTCACTGGCTGAGCGAGGCATGGGAGCAACACCGAGGGTTGCAATCCCGTTGCCGGTCCCTGGTCCGGTACGGGGGCAACACTGAGGGTTGCGATCCGTTGCCGGACACGGAAAAAGACAAAAAAAAAACCATAGGAAGGAAAGTATAAAGCACCCTGAATACACTTAAAAGGAGACCGGGCAAGTGGAAGGCAGCCCTCGATTCCCAGGCGAAGCGTTTCAGCATCGTCAAGGTGTGCGGACTCCCTAAGTAAATTTGTGCTTAAATGCAGTCCCAATAAAAGTACCTATGAGCTTTTTTATGGAGTGAGGTGAACTTATCCCAAAGTTCCCATTTAAAAATAAACAAGGAAAATACCATAAATACACACACATCTGCTTATCTTTACAAACAAACACACCCAGGATAGACCAGAAAACAGTGATGTCTGTTTCCAAAGGAAGGGAGGAGGTGCCGGAGGAGGGGGCGTCCCTGAGTGCACCTTCGTGCTCGGTGCCGCGTCCTGGGAGTGTGGTCAGAGGAGAAAGCACGGGCGAGGGTGGTCCTAAGACGGAAAGCAAGTGGGAAGAGTGAGCCCGACTGACTTCAAGTGAATATCAGGCGCGCTGAGGGTGAGACAGGGAGTTTACTGACAGTACTTGGTGATACACCTTCAGAGTGAAGAACCACAGACAAACCCTGACCTCTCTGTACAGCGGTCTTGTTTTTTGCAATCACATGGCAAAGCAATCTGAAACTGTTTCATGTGTATTTTATTATAGAGCACATGAGTCAGTACACTGATGTCAGAAGCCAGGATTCCAGCTTTGGAAGACAGGACAGACAGGTGTTGAAGGGAAGGAGCCGAAAAGAGCCCATGGAGATGGAGTGGGATTAGCGGTACAGGTGCAGCTCCGTGATTTCTGATATGTACGTGCAACTGTACACACGTACACATGTGCGCACGTATGTAGTAGGCATGCCTGTACTTGCTGTGTTCACAGAAAGGTCCTAAAAGCACAGACACCCTGGCAGCAATGAGCACTTCTAGCACCCAGATCTTGGTCTCTAGAACCATTCCCCCCCAAAAGGAGCCAGGGCCCTCAGAGAAATGGCTGACTCCAGAGGCCCAGAGGACACCTCCGCATGCCTGGAAGCAAGGAGGTGCTCGAAGAAGAGGGCACGTCCACAACAGAGCAGCTCGACAGGGCTCCCAGTCGGCAGATGTTGTACAATTTGGTCACCAAAATAATTACAGACAGGAATGATTCTCAGCCCATTGAAGTTAAGGAGCAATTCACACATGCAAACCAATAGTAGGTAATAAGTATATGAACATGGATAGATAATACATCCCAATAATAAACAGGTAACTGGGGGAAGGAGAGAGCTTGCTTTATGGGATGCTGAGTGCCGACTGTTGATGTGGAGGCTGAGCTGGAGCCCGAAAACCTGTTCTTCACCCTCACCGTAAAGACTGGTCTCAGCAAGAATCACCAGTGGGGGCCACGTCAGGAGATTCTGGTGAGGAGGAGGTCCTCCCAGCCAGAACGTGCCTGTGCACAGATGCTTCTCAGTCGCAGAGGAAAAACCATTACTATCAGGTGGGAAAGGCAACCCTGAGGCGCCCAGGGGCCAAGGGCCATGCTGTAAGCAACCTGCTCTCAAAACAAGAAATCACATCTTTGCCTGGCACAGTGGCACACACCTGTGGTCCTGGGCACTCAGGAGGCTGCGGCTTCAGCTACAGGACTGCTAAGCCCAGCAGCTCTGGGTTGCAGTGTGTGGTGACCACCAGGTTGCCTGAGGAGGGGTGAACCAGCCCAGCTTGGAAACGGAGCAGGTCAGAACTGCACGCTGATCGGCAGTGGGTCACGCCTGTGAATAGCCCCTGCCCTCCTGCAAAACACAGCAAGACCCCTTCTTTAAAAAAAAGTCACATCTTTATGCATGTGGGTGTGTAGACGTGTGCACACTGACACCCAGTCCTGTGTGTCATCTCCACCACCTGGCAGGGTTGTGCACACTTTAGGTGCTTTCTAAATACTGTTCAGTAAAGTGTGACAGCACCAAACTGTCCCTTAACAGCACCTGGGTAAAGTCCATCTCTGGAAATAATCACATAAGATACTGCAGAAGAAAACAGTTAAAAATTTTATTCTCATTCCTTTCTGAGCATGTTTATCTCTTAAGTTTAATCTGAAATGGAGATGATGTGCCTGTGAGTACAGAAGCCGTGGTGTTGGGGGCGCAGACAGATGCAGTCCACAGGTGCTGAAGTCCAGGATCTACACTAGTCTCCTCGGGAGGGTGCACTGCCCTAGGTGCACCAAGAGGCACACGGCAGCAAGCACTGCGTGCCACCAAAGGGCAGCTCCACACACGCAGGCAGGACGTGGCAAGGAACACCTCATGGCCCGGTCCTCTCTTAGTTAAAAATGGTGCCCGTCCAGACAGTAAATGCCCTTGCTGCCCACCTGACAACATGCAGAAGTTCTGAGCAGGCCACCATCACCCTTGGCAGTGGCTCCCAGGGCACCAGCAAGACCCAGGCCCCTCATTCTCTAGAGCACATGCTCCAGGTATGGCTGTGGATGGAGGCCTGGCCCTGCTGCATTGGGCGTACAGGGACATGTTCATGGTTCTTTCATTTGTTTCTACGTATTGTCTTAATTGTGCCCGAACTGACAGAGCTTGATGTTCTTGGAGGGACTGTGGCTGCTGAAGGGCTGGACTGGCTCTTCCTGGCTCTCAGGACGGCCTGGGAAGTCTCTCCAGTAGCACCAACCTTGTCTGCAGGTTGATGTCAAAGGGAGGCAGTTTGGTCAGGTTCAGGCTTACACCTGTGGTGCCCGCAATGCTGGCCAGGACCCGGTGGGTGTCCCTGTAGAGGACCAGGTGTCCGGGGGCCGCCTCCATGAGCAGGTGTGTGTAGGCCAGCATGCCCGCTGCCCCGGGCTGCACGTCTTCCCTCTTGTCGTACCTGAAAGAGAAGAGCCAGCCCATCCCCACCTGCAGTCCCATGCCACTCCCTGTGCCACCCTGGGCACTTTGGTGCCCCTGAGAGGACCCATACGCTCGTCCTGCAACTATGTTGTCATGTGGGAAACATACCTCCAGGCACTGTTGACTTGTAAGAACCGAGACACACCTGTCTGGGCGGCGGCCACGTCGATGTGCAGGAGGACATCTGGGAGAACGACACCTGCGTGGTCAGAACCAGTGCCAGCACCGCAGGCAGCCGCGGCTGGCCGGCAACACCCGCACCCACCTGTCCGGGGAGGCACCAGCTTGTGCAGCCTCTGCATCGCGATGCCGCCAGGGTAGTTGAAATGGGACACATAGAGGGACGTGGCTGTGTAGACAGCATTTGCCACGAGGTGTCCTATTACAAGCAGGGACCCCACTTTATACAGCCAAGACTTTTTATAATTATTCAGCCTGAAAAAAAAATGATTATATGCCACAAAAAGAATATGGCAGCAATAAAAGTATCTAATCATACCTAGAAAACATATCATTCGGGACATAAACCTGCGTTCAACTTTACTGCTGTGGATTAAATGTTCCCCCAACACTCACTGAAGCTTGACCCCCATTGTAACAGCATTAAGAGGGTGGGAAATCCGATCATGGTGTCTGAAAGGGGGCCCTGAGTAGGGACCTGGCCGTGGGGACCGTGCTTCACGAGGAGACTGCGAGCACACTAATGTGCATTCTCACTGTGCTCGCCATGTGACACCCTGGTCACCACAGGACTGTCCGCTCCCTAGCCAGAAGGCCTTCACCTGGAGCCTGGACTTCCCAGTCTCCAAAACTGGAAGAGATAAATTTCATTTCTTTACAAATTACCCAGTTTCAGGTGTTCTGTCATAAGCAACAGAAACAGACTAATACATTTACCAAATTATAAAAAGCAAAAAAGTTAGTCACCAAAGATATTGCTGTGGGTTGATTGTCCCCATTGTGACAGTGTTAAGAGGGTGGGAAATGAGACTGTGGCAGTTTTGAAAGGTGGGGCCTATGAGAGGTGACTGTCGTGAGGACTGTGCCCTCGTGCATGGACTGATCCACTTTTGGAGCACTGGGTTAGAGGTTCAGTGGGCTGGCACAGGCGTGGCATCGTGGCTTTATAAGGACAGCAAATGGGCACGTTAAAGGGCTCTTGGCATGTTCACCACATGATGGCCTGTGTCACCACGGGAACCGTAGAGCTCCCACCCAGAGGAAGGCCTTCGCCAGAAGCACCCCTGACCCGTGGACGTCCCAGCCTCCAAAGCTGTAAGAAATAAATTTCATTTCATTTCTTTATGAATTACCCAGTTTCAGATGTTCTGGAATCAATGACAGAAAAAGGACTAAGACACACATGTAATAAATAGTAGAAGTGGTTAAGACACTGTCTGAAGATCCTGCCTGTGACATTCCGCACAAGATGCCAATTCAAAATTTCTGTCAGACTTTAGGGCTGGCTGCTTCGCTCAGTGGGTTAGAGCGCGGTGCTACGACACCAAGGTCAAGAGTTCGGATCCCCGTACCACCATCCACCAAAAAGTAAATAAAATTTAATATTAGATTTTCAAAAAATTTTTCCAAACATTCCCGAGTTACTGCTGGGGTCAGAGTGCACCTGTGGCCAAGCCCAGCTCAGCCCATTCTGTAAATAAAGCTGACGGGCGCAGTGCTGCCAGTCCCCACACAAGTTCTGCGGCTGATCTTGCTGCAATGGTGGAGGTAGAAGCTGCGACAGAGAACGCGTGGCCCCAAAGACAAGAATCTTTACTATCTGGCCCTTTACAGAAGTTTGCCGACCCCGATCTAAACTCACAGTT